GTGAAATACGGATATGTCCCGGGAAATACGGACGTTTGGTCACCCTAATGTAATATAACATCTTTACGAATCCATCACAATAGAATGAATGTGTTAATGGAGCATAATAATATAGATGTGCCAAAAGTGCTAAATTGAAGATGTACATGTAATATACATGTATTTATTACATTGTTATGGTAATTATATCCTACATATTATAGAGACTGAATTACAAGTACATTTCAGTTAATGCTATTGTATCTTTCTATTCTATTTGCAAATTGTGCATGGATTATATATATATAGAGAGATAGAGAGATAGATAGATATATGGATTGATGGATAGATATAAATAATTGGTAACATTTTTGAGTCGGTTCCCCCCCACCCCTCAAAATAACATGCAGTGTATTTCAGCACTTAACTTTTTAAAATGAGAAATACAACAAACACTAAAGGAAAGACAGAGTCATCCACTTAATAAAGAAACAATGACATTTGACAGTGAATTACATTCTGTTTACTTTCTTTTTTCTAATATTAGACAATGTCAATGGATAACTAAGTCAATATCTTTGAGTCAGTCCAAAATAGCCAGACCAATGTTATGCTACATACTAAACTAAATGATACATCGATGTATAAATTGATTTTCTTGGTTAGTACATCCACTGACTGTGAAATTACCAGTGGAACATCTTTTTTTCAGCCAAATGCTACACATGAAGGCATTTTGACTCTGTGGGAGTGGGTAGTACCAGCATGGCGGACTGTAGCTTCACTTTTTCAGACAATCGGCTATCCAGTGAATAAAAATAGATCAGTGGTTCAGTCTTGATGAATTAAGACATTGGTAAATGTGCACAAGATTACTGCGATACAAAATGAAAAAAATACAATTTCTCCCCCATCCTTTTCTCCTCAGACCACTATCTTGGCTGCCATATTTGATGGAGGGGTCGTGATTGGATCAGACTCCAGAGCTTCAATTGGAGGGTGAGGAAGGGGGTCGTTTAACAATATACATATTTAGATAAACTTTATTGTCATTCTATACACACAGGGTGTATATCTACAGAAGGAAAAAAGGATTCAAGTATTCAAATCTGGCTAATATGAGTTTATAGTTGAGAATATAGTTGAGAATATAGTTGAGAATATAGTTCTTAATAGGTCTTCATACTTTTCATGTAGATTTACCAAAACAAAAACCATGAGGACTGACTGACACAACTACTCTTCCAGTTGAAGAAATACTGTTTTGTTTTTGTTTTATTTTAAAGACAGGGAGACGTATTCTGAGGGTTAAAATGTTAAAGACTAAAAGCAGCTAGTGGAAATTGTGCTTTAACAAATAATTTTATCTCAATATGAAAAATCTTTCCATGTTTCTATCTGCCAGTCTCAACAGAATTGACAGGTATTTTTCTTTAGTCTCAATTGTCTCATACATTTTTACTATCAGTGTAAAAATGTGTTCTCTCCAATATATTTCAAAATTATTGTCACTTTTAAGATTGCTTTATTAATTGAATTTAATAAAACACAAAAATAACTCTGTTGCCAAGCTCTCTTCTATCTTATGCAGCTTCCCCACTTGGAAAGGGATGGATAAATTGATGCAGGCTTAGTTCAACAGGGTTTTACTCAAAGGACCACACAGTTTTCTTTTTCTACAATTCGTCCAGAAGCAGACAAAAACCCTTAAAAAAAAAAATAAATAAATAAATAAATACTCATTTGTATGTTAGCTTACATTAATTAGTTCCACTTAAACTACAAAAGAAATTATAAGCTGCACAACACTAAGCAAACTGCTGTGAATCAAACCCACAAAGTAATTCCTTAACTTTTAAATACATTTCAAATAAATATTTACAATTACATTCATTTAAATATGCAAATACTACTTTATTTTATAAATATCTTCATGTAGTTATTCTTCTTAATCTGATACGCAGTTAATTAATAGTTGAACTTAACACCCAAATTTACTATTCAACAAAAATAACAATCAGTTCAACCATAAAGTCAAACAACTTCAGACTTTACCACTACAATCCACCTCTTAAGTTCAGGTGTAGCTGTGAATTGGTGTTAATGGTCTGGCAAAGCTGGAGGCCTGGCTGGAGGAACATAGGTAACATTGCAGTCTGATCTCATAAAAATACAGCTTCTCTTACCACCTGCCTCTCCGCCCGTCTACAGATTCATCCAGATCTGCACAAGTCCAACAAGATCTCTGATCATTAGAGTCCCAAACTTTTTTCCTCTTTGTCTGGCTTTCTCCTCTGCTCCTTCCTCCAATGTCCATCCTTCTTATAGGTCCGTGTGAAACGGTGCACTGGTCCTTTTTTTTTTCTTTTTCTCTTTTCTCATTTGACTTCACATCCAGTGTCCCAACAGTGGAACTGTTGACTGTTGGAGATAGGCATCAGTTTCCTGTGACCCTGACAGAAAAGCAAAAGAAGAGGGATAGATGAAAAAACGAAGATAAAACTTTTAATCTATTGATTCAAAATCTATAACCCATTGAGTAGTTTGTTTCTAATAATAGTTGCAGAAGCTGCTGTGACTGCAACAATGACATCTCAGAAATATAGTAAATGAATATTTTTTTCCTGGCTTTGTTTAGGGAATATGTATCTTCCAAGACCATCAACAAGGTGATCCAGGTTCATGACCAGATCTTCTGCTGCATCGCTGGTTCTCTAGCAGATGCTCAGGCTGTCACCAAAGCTGCAAAGTCTCATCTGTCCTTCCACAGGTATGTGTTCAAGACATGTTTACATGGAAAATGATTTATGTGATTTATGAAACAAAGTAATGTTTAAGTCAATAATATATTGAGGTTTTATTCTGTGCAATTCACACACTTTTTGTTCTCTGCTCCTTTCCTTCCTCCTTTTTCAAAGTAAACATGTTATGCACATATTTTACACAAAATATGGAACACACTCTTTATTTTTTTATCTGTTGCAGTGTACAGATGGAGAGTCCTCCTCTGGTGATTGCAGCAGCATCAGTGCTAAAAGAGCTGTGTTACAAAAACAAAGAGGAGCTTCAGGCTGGCTTCATCACAGCAGGATGGGATAGGAAGAAAGGACCACAGGTAATGAGTAAAAGGACATAAATGTTGCCAAAATTTTTGTGATAGCTAATATTTTACATCTCTCTCCAGGTGTATGTTGTGTCTCTGGGCGGGATGTTAATCAGCCAGTCTGTAACCATCGGCGGCTCAGGAAGCACCTTTATCTATGGCTATGTTGATGCTAAATACAAACCTGACATGACCAGAGAGGAATGTCAACAGTTTGCCACCAATGGTATGAAAAAATAATTACTTTATATACATATATGAACATAAATTGGTCTTTTGTCAGTATAAATATCAAGCATAATTTACATATTTGCAAAGGTGTTCTTTAATTCAATGAAAAACTTTACAGCGAGGCAGAAATCAAGTTTTTTTTACCACAGTAATATAGTTTTTATGTTAAAAACTGGTGACTTAGAAGTTGTAAAAGTTAAATTTAACCTGTTTCTTTTTCCCTTTTTCATCCCTGCTTGTTTTCCTCCTTTTACTTCACAGCTCTTGCTCTGGCTATGGGCAGGGACAACGTCAGCGGAGGTGTTGTTCACCTGGTGGTGATAACTGAAAAGGGGGTGGAGCATGTGGTCGTACCTGGAGACAAACTACCAAGATTTCATGATGAATGAACCAATTTTCTTTGTGTCATTGTAATACCCTGAAAAAAAAATTATAATTGGTTCAAAATGTACATTTTAATTGCTCATTTAAAGAGCTATGTATTTGTCCTTGACACTGCAAGTTTTACACTCCACTCCATATTTTGAACATTAAAACTGTTTTGTTCTTTTCTAATTAAATCTCTCAAAACTTAGATGAGATACAAAAAACTGATAAATGTACTATTTATGAGCTGTTTGGTGCAGGTTTATTAAAAAAAAGTTGATCAAAGTACCACTGCAAGTGTTTAGATGATGCCTATATCAATATCAGAAAATAAAGATTGTTTTCCAATTTGTTGTGCTTTATTTCTTGATCTTCATATTTCTAAAATTGGATTTTTTGATCCAAGCTAATCAGAGTTTGCATAAAGTTCTCGATATTTACAACCAAAAGGCATGCCTGTTTAATTAATATATCCACAAAAAGTGATGTAAATTTGAACTCTCATTGCAAAATACCCTTATTACGTAAGTTAGCTGAAAAACAAGAAAAGTAAGACAAAGAACAATCCTAATAGTCAGTATTAAAACTGAATGCAGTGACAGGATTATTAAGCCTTCTTATGCAATGTGCCTCAACTGGAGCAATAATTATTTCAGGCTCCCCTCAGAAGTCATCACATTTGTAAAAAGTCAAGTTGTTCAGTGAGTATTTCAACGGTTAACACTAGACAAAGACCTATGTCACAACAACAAAACATTAACGTTTATTTTACCCCCCAAAAATTCACCACTTTGTTTTTTTCAATCACATTAAATTGCTCCGATTTTTTTTAGTAGTAACAAAAAAATATATACAAAAAATAACAAGGGGTGTCCATGCTTTTACAGGACTGAGTGATCAAGCTGTGGGTCATACCTCACCGCAAAGGAGGAGCTGTTAAAGTTTCAATTTCGGTTTGTCTCAACAAAGTTTTGAATCTAACGCTAGTTGAAAACGCCAGGGGCTTCGATAACATACTAAGATTAACATATTTTACTCTTTCTTCAAGGAGTGATCAATTTCAAGCAACATTCGTCGCCTTTGCGTCTCTTTATCTTCAGTTGCTGTCAGTTTCCGTGTTTTTATCTTCGCTGTCGTTAAAATCTTTCTGCCATGTTGGGAGAAGCTGTGCCGCAGTGGCTCAACGAGGAGGTGAAAACAGGGGTAGGTACATTATTTTTAATAAGTCAATGGAACTTTCTGAGTTTTTAAATGAGAGCAGCGTGTTTTTTTTTTTTTTTTTTTTTATAAATTACGGTTTAATTCTGTTTCCAGACAACTATAATTGCTGTAGAGTTTAATGGAGGGGTCGTGTTGGGGTCTGATTCCAGAGTGTCTGCGGGGTAAGTTACCTGTGTGATTTTGTTTTAATGCCATAGTTTCAAATGATGTTTCTACTTGTGATTATGTAAATATTCCTTCTGCTTCCAGGCAGTCAGTTGTTAACAGGGTGATGAATAAACTGTCTCCACTTCATGATAAGATCTACTGCGCTCTGTCTGGATCTGCAGCAGACGCTCAGACCATTGCTGAGATGGTCAACTACCAGCTGGATGTCCACAGGTAAGTCCATCTTAACTGCCTGTTCAACCAAATGGTTCAACAAATAGAAAACAACATCTTCATTTTTTATTTCAGCAAAATTATTGTCATGCTTTATATACCTTGTTTTTATTCGATCATCAAGTTTTTTGTTTTTACTGAGTAGAACAGAAGTATCCACTAATGTCAAAGTGGGGAAATTGAAGTCTACTAGCAGTAAAGTGAAAGACAAATGGAAACATGCCTTAGTTTTAACTAAAGATTGTTTTAGTGTGGAGCTAGGTCTTCAAAATGTCAAAAAATTTTTTTTTTATACAATTATGTTTTCAATGCTGGAGCTATCTAAAGCTCCATGACCCTCTGACCTCCACAATCCATTCTGTTTATTGAAGTTTATGAAAATCCCGCCACTTTCTTTAGCCAAAGGGTGTAACTTTGTGATAAAAGTTGGTGGGGACGCTCTAAGGGTGGTTGCTGATGGACCTACAGCTAACCAACCCGAAGGCTTTCAATAGGGTTTATATTTTCCAAAAATGAGTTCAAACATATTTATTGGGTGCTTTCCTATTGTTGAGAACACAAGAGAACCACAGTACAGTGATATTTCTAGTTATAGACAGATGCCTGCCTTTGGTGCATTATTTATAACGGGCTCAAAAACATTAATGTATAAAAAATGACGAGTAACAGCTGATACCGATGCCAACATCAGTATATCATGGACAAAACTTAAATTCCATCCATCCATGCATGGCTTCCCTTTCGGCTGCATTAGTGATTATCCTCCTTCACAAGCAGCTAAATTTAATTATAATTATATTTCAAAAATCATTTATGCACTGATTTGTATTATTTGTGCTTTAATTCTTGTAGGTTTCTTATATTTTAATGTTAAGTCTGTGTCCTGTGAGTGAAGATATGTTAAATTTTATTATAGTATAGCATATTTTTTCTTGTAAACTTGGGAGACATATTTAATTGCATGTTGCATATCCCAGTAAATCTGATTCACCTATAAATCAGCAGCTCTCCCTAATTGTGTCACTGCTGAAAAACAGATTTTTTGGACCTGTCTATTAATATAATGATGCTGGAGAAAATTATTTTTCTGATATCTAAAAGCTCTGCAGTCTGATTCTCTGTTCATTAAGAAAACAACAGATATGTGTTAATTTTAATCTGTTACTCTGAGTAATAGTCATTAGAGAACCCCAGCTTTCTTAACTTATTTTTAGCTGAAAAAACTGTAGAAGAAGACAGAACTTTCAGTATTGGTGTAATAACTATTTGTAAATGTTGTTTTGTTCTGACAAAACCTACTATTCAGTCAAAACAAAGGTTTTTGAAGAAAAACATTCCTTTTTTATCATGTTAGTTTTTAAAATTTACACAGTTCATGAATTGTCGACTCACTATACAGTCACAGGAGCGACGAGGCTTTCTTTTGGAGTGAAAATAAACACTGTTATTAATTGATCTTCTACATGCGTTTTTGAATCATCATCGGGTTTTAATTTCTTTTACATATTAAAGATTAAATAACAGTATACATTCTTTTATGAAAAATTATATATAGGCTACTTGTTTACTAAAAAACTATAAAAATGAATTTGATTTACCTTATTACATTTATGCATTAAATAGATATTTAAGTTTGTTTTAAGAGTTTTGTTTATTTTTCTGAACTATGTTGTACTATTTCCTCTGTCAGTATGGAAATAGGAGAAGACCCACAGGTTCGATCTGCTGCCACTCTGGTGAGGAACATCTCATACAAGTATAAGGAGGAATTGTCTGCACATCTCATTGTGGCAGGCTGGGACAGAAGAGGAGGAGGACAGGTTGGATTAATAATGCTATTTACTACAGAAAGTAAAGTCATTCAACCATAAATTAAGAAAAATCTTGATAGTTTCCATATTTCTTGCATTAATAGTGTTTAGTAAATCTGAAAGCAAATAATGATGATTGCATATTGTAGGTCTAAAATTTTTTTCCATTAATTGAAATGTCACATTAGCATGAATTCAACATGCTGCAGTAAACAGACTGATGGAGGCAGAAGATGTCTTTCAGTCATCAATGCTGGGCACCGTTTCATTCACACACCTGTCCCATCAACCAGCAATCAGAATCAGAAATACTTTAATAATCCCAGGGAGAAATCACTTTCTTTACATTACGTTACATAGAGTGACTATAGGACCAGTTTGATATAACACAATTTCATACAATATATATAATTAGGGGCAGTGTTGTGCCTGAACGCGTTCATTGAACGAAAGTTCATGAACTCGTTCATATTTTGGGCGAACGTGAACTGAACGTACTGTATTACTGCCTGATGAACGTTATTGTGAACTCGTTCATTCTGGCGTCTGTGAACGGCACGCTCTCTCAGTTCAGCTCCGTTCAATAGGTTGGCAAATTTCTATAAAGCCCTCCAGGAGAAACCCCGGCTAAATCACACCGTAAACAGGCCTTAATATGTAGCGGGAAAAACACCCAATCTGGCAACACCAGCTACCAGTGTCGTAGCCTACAGCCGCGTGCGTCATCAAAACAAAATGCAGCGTGGACGCCACAGCAGCATGGAGGCGACCGTGGATGCGACAAAGCAGCAGCATGATCACTTAAAACAGGTTTATGACCAGGTGGTTGGTGAGGATGATGGCAACAATCTTACATTTCTCTGCAAACTTTGCCCGCCGGCTTTCAGTAAAAAAATCCACACTTCAGTAACATCCAAAGCAAATCTGAAACGGCATATGCACTGAAATGGAATTTCAAATGGAAAAAAGTATTAAAATTAAAAAAACATTTGCACCTTAAAGACTACATTCCTGTTTTTCTTTTAATAATTCCTCTTAAAAAAAGACCATTCAAGCAGCACATTTTTCCTGATGTTTTTGAGAATATACTGTAGGGCTGAAAGCTGCAGCTGCTACTAGTGTGAAGTGAATGGACAGCAACGAAGCGTTAAAGCAACAATGGGGAAATGCTGTCCCCTCAATGCTAATCTAAACCCTGGTTGGATAAGGATTCAAAACTGGATATGAAGATGAAATCTGACGCACAGTTTCAGTGTTACAACTGATAAAATAATTGCTGTCTGTGGTTCTACAGTAGGCTATGGTGTAATTGAGCAATATATGAAAAAAAAAAAAAAGAACTATGAACTAGTTCATTTTTTGGAACTGTGAACTTAGTTCAAAATTTTGAGTTATGAACTATGAACTGAACTAGTTCATTTTAAAATGTGTGAACTGAACTTTGAACTAGTTCACGTAGAAAGAGAACTTTCCCAACACTGATTAGGGGGTCCCTGCTCCATCTCACTATCAGTTTGGGGGTCCTTGGCCTGGAAAATGATAAAGACCCCTGTTGTATATTATTAGGGCGGGGCAACGATTAAAATCTTTAATCGCGATTAATTTCATAATTTCCCTTA